TCAATATTGTATAACTGTATTAATTCAACTGTGAACTGAAAAATTTACAGCTAATATTGAAAGAGATGCATCTTTGCTCTGGAAATTGTTATTGAATATGTTAATGCTATAATGAAATGTTTCTTCTAATCATGTGGTTATTCAATAAATAATTTTTAAAAAAAAAGAAAAAGAAAAAGGGTCTTTCTGTATAGCCCAGGCTGGCCTCAAACTCTCATCTCCCTGCCTCCACTTCCCAAATGCTAAGATTGCAGGCATGTGCCACCGGTCCCAGCTTGCTTCCGCATTTCTCCATTTCTCCAGAGTGCTCATCAGCCTTTATTACAAGATTAATAAAATCACTTTTCAACCAGATTATTAGCATTACTGAGGTCTCATAAAGAAATGACTGCAGTGAATTACTCACCATTCTATCACCAATACCCAGCATAGCAGCCAAAGCCCTATAGGGACTCTAAGTAGTAACTGAATGAATGACTCTCAGTACCAATGAACTCAACACATTCCCTGCTTGTGCACAGATGCAGGGTAGTGGCAACACGTCTTCATTCCCATTGCTGCTCAAAAGTTGGCATCTTTATGCAAAATCAACAGTGCAACTGTATGAATCTGAATGGAAAAGACTGCTGCACCACACATAAAAGTTCCTCTTTTTGTAGCAAGACAGAATGACTTGTTATTTTTCACCTTTTCATGGAGACAGCACCCAACAGATTAATATGTGGGAGAGCACGTGTCCCATGATGGAGGGGGTGAGAAGAAGAATGCTTTTGCTCTTTAGACAGGGCTAGGAATCCTCCTCGTGTGTACTACACATGGGTATTCACACTCTCAGAAATGCATAGCAAATTAAAGAAAATTCAAATGAACTCCTGAAGGGTATAGCCCACACAGCATGCGGTCTGGCCCCCAGGAGAGATGAGCCACACTGTGACAGGTGACACCAGAGGGCAACCTCCACCAGCTGTAGACATCAAAGGTCCATGTGAGGGGAAGGAGGAAATCTATGAAGAGGTTTAGTATCACCGCTACTTCCTCTATGCTGTGACTTTCATAGGCTGGACCCAGCTATGTCATTTTTATTGTCCCCACTTTAACACAAGGAAGTGGCAGGGTCCCTTTTGGGTTTTGGCTCCTACACTGGTACTAGTGACAGACAGGAATAATTCACTGCAGTTATTTCTTTATGAGACCTCAATAACGCTAATACTCTGGTGGCTTTATTGTCAAGCACTTGCAATAACAGCTGATGAGCACTCTAGAGAAATGGAGAGCTGTGGCAGCAAGTTGGGTACAGTGACACATGCCTGCAATCCGAGCACTTGGGAGGCTGAAAGGTTGAGTGGTTGCCTGTAACTAACTCGTAAGAAAGTGCAGTTACTTGTGTTTCTTGGTGTTGTATCCTAGTGTGGGCACGAACGAAAAGTGAGAAAGCATCTGTAGACTCAGGTTATCTTAGAAAATGAGGACAAATGGCTAAATAAATAAGTGGAAGTTAAATCTTTTGTCATTCTGAGGATTAGAAGTAGGAAGAGAAAGAATTGAACAGTGATCCTATCTATACCTGAACCCTTTAAAGCAGTACTCAAGCATTAAAATTATACCCATATGTTACTGAGATATAAAGTACAATTTAAAAGCAAAGCAGGAGAGGACTTAGGATGTAACCTACTGGTAGAGACTGCGCATTCACTGTGGGTTAAACTGCAGTAGAAAGAAAGAAAGAAAGAAAGAAAGAAAGAAA